AGGTAAGTGCACCCCTGTCGTGCAATGCCTGCGGAGGACAGAAGAGGCCATCAGATCCCCTGGAATTGGAGTTATGGACAGTTGTTAGCTGCCATGTGGGTGCTGGGATTCGAACCCGGGTCTTCTGCAAGAATAACCTGTGTTCCTAACCATTGAGCCATCTCTCCAGCCCCGATTTTGTGTTTTAAAGGAGGTACAAGCAAAAACACTGTAATTGAATTCTTTCCTGAGGCTAAGCATATTACAACGAACATGCTTTCATCTTCATCTCTGAAGAACAGTTTGGTTGTATTTCTTCACTTAGCGCTTTATCTCCAAATTTTAGGCCTCCTTGCCCTGAGATTTACTAGTACTTTCTTCTTAGGTTTGAAACCATAGTTACAGCTAGCAGGTTAGATAGGACATTGGTTGGACATACGTTATTCTCCACTGAAAGACCATTTAACATTTTTAATTAACTAATTAATTGTTATATGTATATGTGTGTGCTTGCCCGAATGAATTCATGTGTACCATGTGCTTGCGGGAACAGCAGAGACCTGAGGAGGCATCTGATCCTCCAGAACTGGCGTTACAGATGGTTGTGAGCCACCATGTGGGTGCTGGGAACTGAACTGGGTCCCCTGAAAGAGAAGTACAATTTAGCTACCCAGGCCAAAAGAGCAACAGAAGCAGCTGTTGCTTCTGAACTGCAGGCCACACCGGAAGGAGGAAGATGTTCTTCCTCATACCCTCTCCACTAAATTCTCAGATACCAGCTGTTTTGCTGAGAGAGGGCAGAGCAAGATAGTGGGATAGTCCACAGAGGGCTTTGCCTGGTGTTAGAATTAGAGATGAGAAAGGAAAAAAAGAAGTAGAAATCTAATCTGAACACCAGATGCAGGCAGTTTTATTAGCTATGAAGGGCAAGCAACCTTCCTGCAGAAATGGTGTCTTGGGGTGGGAGGACTTCTGGGGTTTATAGGTGGGTCCAGACAATCCCAGAAAGGGAGTTATGCCTTCCTGGATTCTCAGAAGGTGGGTCTTGCCTTCTTGGGTGGTGTTGAGCTCCTTCTCAGGATGGGGAAAGAGAGATGGGGAATTCTGATAGGGGAACCAGGTATCTTCTGCAAGGTGGTTGGTAAGCAATCAGATCTGCAAGGAGGCTGATAAAGAATCAGATTTCTTTTGATAAGGAACCAGATGTCTAGGCTAAAGGCCATGTGTTCTGAGATAGATGTATCTCCCTCCTGGAGTTGGGAGGCAGAGTGGGTGGATGGTCAGTTTTTTCATTAATTTGTCAGACTGATCTTCCTTCATTCTAGACCCTGAAGCCATAAAAATAAAGGAACAGGGTAATTGTTCTCTCTTAACTATTTCAAGCTGATGGGGAGGGTTTATTTCAGGGTCCATTGAAGAGGGCATCATCTGGTGACACGGAGCAGGAACATAGCCTTGATTTGGTCTCTGTAGCAGCTTTGGCATTCATATGGGCTGCTCAGTCAGGAGATTCTGTAAGAATCTTTGGAGACAGTTTACTGAGCATAGTACAAAGGTCTCATTACTCTGGAGTCAATAAGGGTCTAGAGGAGGGGGAGATGAGCTGGTCAGTCCAGTCCTCATACCAGGTGTCCCGGTCCATTGAGGTTCTGGTCATGGCCTCAGTAGTCTTCCAGGAGCAGGGTGTTACCTCAGGAAAAAGAAATGGAAAAAATCAGATCCCTTTATTGGCATCCCCAGCCTTGTAGCTATGTCAGAACTAGAGACATCTTTGGATTAGATAGTTCTGCATCTTTAACCTCAGGTAGGGACAAGTTTACGGGCAGATCCAGGGGAATTTCCAGCACTCAGGGAGAAAGAAACTGGTCATTTTTCTTTTGGGGTCTTCACCCTAAAACTGTGTAGCCAATTTCACCTTCCCACTCTCATCCTTCCCCTATCTCAAGAGGTAACTGTAACTGCCATTAGGGGATGAGGACGCAGAGCACTCTAGCTTCTTTAAAGCTTAATAGGGGCATCAGGTATGGCAGTCAGGTATCCCTCCAGAGGGTCTATCTAAAAGATCCCAAAAGTGCACCAGTGACTTTATTGTATAATTGCCAGGTGTAGTGAAGAAAGAAAGTCTCTAGATGTTAGGGATGTGGGGGAATAAACATTAAAATCAAGAGAAATTAAAGGGATCAGTTCAGGGGTTTTTAGAGTCCCCATTTTTGTAGACTCAGGGGTCTTGGAGGATGGTCAAGAGGGCCCATGTCGATGGGTCTACAATGTTACAGGACTGATTGTAAATGAGAGGAGATGAAGTTGAAAAGCAGTTGAGCACACAAGGTCCAAAGATTAATAGAATTATGGGACTGGAGAAATGGCTCAGTGGTTAAGAACACTGGCTGCTCTTGCAGAAGACCTGGGTTTGAATTCCATCACCCACATGGCCACTAACAACTGTCCGTAACTCAAGTTCCAGGGGATCCGAGAGCCTCTTCTGTCCACGAGGCCATTGTATGACATGGGTGCACTTACCTACATGCACGCAATACACATATACACATGAAATAAAAATAAATAAATAAAATATTAAAGATTAATAGAATTACTTTTAAGATCATAACAGATGTGACTCCCTTCTACCATGAGGATTCAGAAATTTCCTTGTCATTATTTGTTATTATGTATATTTTTGGGCCCATGCAAGGGACAAATTTTTATCTTGGGTATAGGCAAGCAGAAAGAAAAAGTTAGCCAGCATTAAGAACAGAAAACAAGGCATATTTTATGGGAGAGGAGAAAATAGGCTTATCTTTCCTTTTGAAGAGGAATTTTAATTCCTGGACGGGCTCACAGGTGTATTTAGTGACTGGCTTCTCCTATTTGTCTTCTGGTGTTTCTCTCTCCAGCCTCCAGGGTTTGACTAGAGAGTGGTGGATTCAGGATTCAATTCCAGGCACTTGGTTAACTGTTGGAGTACCTATGATCACAGATTGAGTTTCCTACAAATAGTCTCTAAATGGTGAGAGAGACCAAATTTGGTCATCATTTAATTTTTTGGTTAAAGCTATAGTGGGTCTGTCTTCCTTAGCTGTAGGTAGGCATTGCAGTGTTGCACTAGACCAAGGTCTGAGGTCTTATATCTGAGTAGCATTTTTCTTATCAAGAGGAAATAGATGTTGGGATTGTAGATTGGACACGAGACATGCTTTGCTATTCACAAATATGCATGAAAGTTTCTTATTAAAGGTACCTATCCAGTCTGAAAAAAATTATTTTATTATTTTTATTTTATGTGTATGAGTGTATTGCCT